CTGCCTTCAGCAACTTCCCTCTCTCCTTCCTTTCTACATGTGAGATCCCATTTCTTCCATGCCTCTGGTTCCAACCCCCAAGAACACAGAGAGAGATTTGAGATATTTTTTCTTCATTTATCATTTCATGTTTTCATTTTTTCAATACATTGACTACTGTTGTGTTCTGAGCATTTCCCTAGGCCCTAGAGAACAAAGGATGGAAGAAAATGATAAAAGAATAAATGGAACATTTCCAACCTTTATGAGGAGATGATTTAGCAAATAATATACACTATAATGGTGTTGGGCTGTTTATCTGGTTATTTTTCATTTGGACCCTCCTATTCATTCCTCAACCTTACCTTCCCTGCCCACTGCCTTATGCAGCTGACCCCTACAGACAGCTTGCCCCAGTATCCAGGCTTCTTCGCCCTCTGCCTTTAGTTGGGTTCAGCCAATATCAGCAAGGTATTGAAGAGAAGTAGGAGAAAGGGACCAAACTATTTAATCCTTCTGCTTTTTATCTACTCTGTGCTGCAATCTGACGTTGGCTGCATCTTTGCAGGGCAATAGCGCTCTCTAGGTGACCCCCCCCCCTCAACACTCAGGGTTCTTAAAAGGGGTTATTCCCATCAACAGCCACAGGGATAACATGGTAACCAGAGTGTTTCACCCGCAATGATGGTGGTTCACTTATCATGAGGTACTTAAGAATGAAGGAGATGGGCAGCATTCTAAACTAGGGCTGGATTTAAGCAGTCAGAAAAATTCTAGGTCTGGGGCAGAAATCTCCCTTAAGTTGCCACAATAGGAATTCATGGCCTCCCATCACATTTTCAGATTCAAACCAGTGCCTTCTCAGGCCAGAACGCCATGTTTAAAATGAAGGCCAGATCTTTTTGAGGAAGGAGCCTGCAGAGCTGCCACACTGAATACATCGTCTTCTTCCAAGTCTTCCTTGGGAAGACACGTGACGTACAGTTAACTTTGAAAATGACCTGTTAAAAGGGACATGCTCAGACCTCCCAGGAGTTACTAAACACTGGCCCTAGGTTTATACTCATTTCTACGGAGTTAAAACACCACTATGGTCCAGTGGTGTCTTAGTTTCCTCTTGCTGCTATAAGAAACTACAAACCTGGGGGCTTGAGCCAACATAAATGTGTCATCTTACAGTTCTGGAGGTCAGGAGTCTGAAAGAGGTCCTACTGGGCTAAAGTCAAGGTATCATCAGAGGTGCATTCCTTCTAGAAGCTCCAGGGGAGAATTCCTTTCCTTACTTTTTCAGCTTCTAGACTCTGCACTCTCTGGCTCATGAAGGGACATTATAGTAAGAAAGACCAAGCAGAAGCCCCTGGAACTGTCCCTCCTCCACATCCAAATGGTAAAAGCAAAAGTAATACCACATCCCTGGGTGAGTACAGAGATTAGTGTCATTACCTAAGAACCCAAAAAATGCAAGAATGCTTATTCTTTATCCTATACACAATAAATTTCCCTGTTCAGCCAGTGCAAAAGTAAGATGAATTCTGGAAAATGATAATCAATCTCAGCTGCCATTTCCAGGGTGGTAATTTTACTGGGTCCAACAACACAGTCCTAGTAGCTGGGTGCTATTAACCTGAAGAATATTTTTTTTCTTGATCTAATTAATAGTACTGTCCAAAAGAGTTTGCCTTCATTTAGAAGGGTCAGCAGCATAGTTTTACCATCTTACTTCAGAGTTATGTCAACTCTCTTGCTCTCTGTCATAGTATGGTCTCCTCGGACCTTGATCATCTTAATAACCCATGGAACATCACACTGGTCCATCACATGGGTAACATTATGTTAATTCGACCTTAAGTACAATAAGGAGCAATTTCTTTAAGTGCTGTAGTAAGACAAATATGGCCACAGAGTAGAGGGTAAATCCCATGAAAATTGTGCAAAGTTTCAAGGAATTCAGTAGTCTGGAGTGGGTCAGCCTATCCCCTCTAAAGTGAAGGATAAGGCACTATTCCTTGTATGCCCACCACGAAGAGGAACAATGTTTGCCAGAGCTCTTCAGATTTGTGAGAAATAATATACCACATCTGGATGTTCTTCTCCAACCCATTTGCTCAGTAGCCTCTAAGCCTGTCTATTTTGAATGGAGCCTGGAGCAAGAGAGGGCTCCCGAGTTGAGGCTGCTCTGATATTTGGATCTTAATGACCTAACAGACACAATAGTTATTCGACATGTCGGTGGCAGCTAGAGATCCTGTACAAAGCCTCTGGCAAGCCCCAAGAAGAGAATCACCGAGTATATGCCTAGGATTTTTAGAACCACGTCATGCCCTCTTTGCCAATTTATTAATTATCTATCCATGTGTAATAAAACACCCCCAAAACTTTGGACCCATCTTAAACTTTGGCTACAGCAGTCAACAATTATTCACTACATGAAGATCAACTCCTCTCTTTCTAGAGGGTCCTGGTAGAGACAGAGCGCATGATCAGGGAATGCTAAGCACATTAGCCTGCTAGGACTGCTGTACCAAAGTACCACAAGCTGGCTGCTTACACAACAGCCATATATTATCTCACAGTTCTGGAGGCTGGAAGTCCCAGATCGAGGGATCAGCAGGGTTGGCCCCTCCTGAGCCTGTGATAGAAGCACCTGTTCCGAGTTTCTCTCCTTGACTTGGAGATGATCATCAACTTGTGGTTTTTTTTACCTCATCTTCTCTGTGTGCATGTCTGTCTCTGTGTCCAACTTCCCCCTTCTTAAAACCAGTCATGTTAGATAAGAGCCCACCCTAAGTACTTCTCTTTAACCCGATTACTTCTGTAAAAACCCTATTTCCAAATAAGGTCACTTTCTGAAATACTGGGGATTAGGACTACAACATGTCTTTTCTGGAGGAGCGGCATCCCGTGAAGTGAAAATGGTATTTTTAAGATATGGCCGAAGAGCCTAAATGGTCGAGCAGGCACAAGAAAAGCACATGAGCAGAGAGCTTAGGCTTCATGATGGCTTCCTCAATGCTTCCATGTCTCTCGCTGAGCACACACCTGCAGCTCCACAGAAAGTTCTGGAGAGCCAGGCAACAGGAGGGAAGAGCCAGCCGTATATGCAAAGTGAGCCGGCACCAATCCCAAGTGGATGCCTCCCGGTCACAGGCCCCCTCAGGGATACCCTGAAATACGGTAAGAAGAGAAATCTTCCTAAGGGATAGAACTCTTATTACAGCTGTTTTTCCATTTTGTCTGGAAAGACAGACGGCCTGATACAAGATCAACACTGACTCATAGGAGGTGGCTAATGTGTTGGCCAGCTGGTTCCTTAGGGACTCGGAAAAAAAACAAGACTGAAAGACTGGTGATAAAGAAGTTGGGATAGGGGCGATTTGGGAAGGAGTATCTTGACGTGGGAAGAGTGGGAAGGTTATTTGTGTCTCATGGAATACTCTCCAGAGAACGGGATCATCCGTCCCGTGGATATCAGCCAACCTCCCTCCAGCTTCCCCTTGCTGAATGTACAGTGCCCTGATACAGGCATGGAGGTTAAGCATGGGCTCAGCTGTATTGCCTTCCCTCCCCAAGGCCGATGTGACTTGTGGCTTCCCTCCCCCAGCAGAGGCGAACACTGAACCCCCCGCATGGCACCATTTCCTGTAGTCCTTGTTGGATGGCTCTTTTCACAGCCCCAGCTCACAGGCTCCAGTAGCCCTATTGACTCACCTTCTGAGCAGGTGGGAAAGGGAGGAGTGGATGGATTTGAGATACACTTGTAAAGGCAGATTTGAGAGGAACTGATGGCCAAGTGAATATAGTAGGAGAATGGAGAAGAAAACCTGAGATGACCGAAGTTTTCAGTTTTTGTGAATGGTGAACAGGAACACTTTTAATGAAGACAGAGATGATCAGAGAAGGGCAGGGAGAAACTGACAAAGGAGGTGAAGAGTTCAGTTTGAGCCCCTGGAGGGGGGTGTGGGTGAGCATATGTAGGTATCAAGAGCAACCAGGGGTCCAGAGCTCAGAAGGAAAGTCAGCACTTGAGATAAAGGATGAAAACTTGAATTTATTCATAACCATGTGTTAATGTCCCACAGGACTTTGCATGTTTCATCTTTTACCTCTAACTATGGACACTGAGGCTTTGCTTTTCAGCGGCAGTGAACCCAAGCTGGAGAGGCCTTTAAGGGGGTGGGAGTACTTATCCTCAAGAAAGGAAGTAAGTACAGAGAGACCCTAAAGGCAAATGTTTACCAGAGTATTTTATACTGAAAGTGCCAAATGCACAGACCTCATCTTGTCCCACTTCTCTCTCTCCAGCAACCAGAAGAGGGTTTGGCACCTTGCAACCACTCAAATATTTGGGGAGTGGGCAGAATAAATGGTAATAAATGCCACAGAGGATGGGAGGAAGGAAGGATGAAAGGAACCTACTAGGCAGGAAGGGAGGGAGAAAGGAATGAACCTACAGGGCACAGCGGGGAGCTGAGGAAGGGAGAAGCCACATCCAACCTTTTTCTCCTTCCTAAGCTCTCTTTGCAAGACTGAAAGATGAGAAGCCTCGTGAAGAGATGGTTAAGAACATGGATTCTGATTTCAGGCTCCAGGACGTCCTAGCTGAGCAACTTGGACAAGTAACTTAACCCTTCTGTGCCTAGGCTTTCTCCCTGTAAAATAAACACAGTAAATGCTTAGAGCAGCTCCCGGGAAAAAGTATGTTCCACATAAGTATTTTTGTTATTTTTGGCATCTTGATGAGAAGGTAAGCCTGCAAGCAAGCTGGAAATTCCCTACGGAGGGTGAATTCAGATACTTAGCCTTTAAGAGCCATTCACAAAGACACAATCACCTTTTCTCTCCCTTTGCCTTCCAGAAGCTTTAAACACCCCACTACTTCCCAACAGACTTTCACTAGCAAAAAAACAGAGGCCTGGGTTTTAGTTGGGCTGCCAGCAGTAAGCCGTGAGTTTGCAGACCCCATGGGAGCCGAGCGCCAAGGTCCCTTTCCGCTAGGGCGGACCACCGTGTGCGCGCCGGGTGCCAGACGCGGGCTCACCCCGGCTCCGGCTCTCTCTCGCAACCCCGCCCGCGCGTCCCGGGGGCCCTGCACCCTGCGCGCCCCGGCTGCCGCCCAGCGCCCTGCACACGGGGGAGGCGCCTCTCGGGCGCCCTCCGGCCGGGATGCCAGTGCCCGGCGCCCGGCGCGCCTTCGCCGGCAGCCTGCCCGCGGCCTGCCCGCGGCCTTTATACCGAGCGGGCTGGGCACTCACTAATGTTTAACTCGGGGCAGAAACTTGGGAGCGCAGAGTGACTCCGCGGTCCCGAGCGGCGGAGCTGGACGCGGTCTCTGCGGCTCGCCTGACTTCTGCCTGCGCTCCTGCTCCGAACACTCAGTTCCGGGCCCACACCGACGATGAAGGTGAGTTGAGTAGCGCCTTTCCCTAACCCCAGGGTCGCGTTGTAGGTGCTTCTTCACCAGACTCTCCCCCAAATTGACCCCGAAGCTCGAGGAACGGGACCACGGGCTCCTATTCGGTGGAAGCTCCAGGGCCACCCTGCGACAGGTGAAGGGACGTCCCAGAGCCCCCGCCTGGCGCTCGGCCCCCCGGGGTTTCTGCTAGTACCAGGCGCGAAGCCTGGGAGGATGCAGAGAGCCACCCATAAAACGCACGCTCGAACCCTCACTTGGCTTCTCCCTCACTCGGCTTCTGACGTGCAAGAGGCCGTAGAGAAGCAAACGCTAATATGCTCTGATGCCACAAGTTCAAGGGCAACCGCTCTTGCAACCTCCGCACTCCAAACCCTCTCAGCCCACTGTGCCCCTCTTCCGGATGTTCGCCCATGGGCACATCCCGCCGCCTAGGGTGCAGCGCGGGCCCCGACACTCTGCCTCTGCCAGACTGGGGCCAAAGGGCTCGCTCTAACTGGGTACGATTTGACCGGCTTGCAGACGCCGTGGAAAGTGCTCCTGGGACTGCTGGGGCTCGCTGCGCTCGTCACCGTCATCACCGTGCCCGTGGTTCTGCTGAACAAAGGCAGTAAGTTTGAAACATTTGCAAAAGATAAGACAATTGGAGACCAGGACCGGGTTCTGTCTTACCACACTAAGCACACGGAGAACTAAGGATCTTGCTGGGGGCTTGGACCAGTGCACCAGGTTGTAGCTGAGGCTTCCCTGGGGTTGTTGCTGCTTCTAAGGAGTGGCTAGGTGCCCTTGGTGGGGTCTCCAGTGTTCAGGCTGCGAGAGCCTTGTATCATAAATACATACTTCCCGCAATCAAGAAAAAGTCTTAGGATTACTTTTTCTTAAATTCAAGTTTAAATGTTTAAATTTAGTATGATTTAAATTAAAAAAAAAAAAAAAAAAAAAACCTTTGTAGCTGGGACCTTCAAAGGAAAAGATGTGGCGTTTAAAGGCTTCAAACAGTAGTAGGGATGTCATAAAAGGAGGGAAAAAAAAAAATAAGAGAAGGAAAAGCCCCAAAATACAGTTTTGAGAAAAGACTACATGGGGAACCCAGGTTCTTTACCTTCTGGGACGATGAAAATGCATTAATCAGAGAGTTAAGATGCAGAGAAAAAACTACTTAACCATTTATAGAAATATGTCATAGTAAATCATAAAGCTGGTGTACATGGTAATATTCAGAGGGGGGTGGGATCAGTGATTTTTGGTGGATTCTTTCATTTAAAGCCGCCTTCATTTTTTTAGCTTGCCTAACTCAATTCAACTCTAGCTCTTACTATAAAACGTTCATGTAATGGGATACACATTACTGGATGCAAACAAGTGAGAACATCTAGTTTGGGTTTCTTCTGGCCTTACTTTCCTTTTAAGTAAATATTTACTTTCGTTTCAGTATTACACATTCTAGTCAGCCAACTGAAGCATTCTCTCTGGATGGTCTAGTCAACCAGGAAATGTGCAGACAGTGCTCGCGCACTGAGGGCTCTTCTCCAGATTTCAAGGGGACAGTTCAGAATTAGTTTGTGAAGCTGTCAAGAATTGTTTGCCTGGCAATTTCAGGGCCAGGGCAAAGGTACCAAAGGTTAAATACCTGAGTGTGCTGACCTATTGATAATAGGACTTTTAGTTAAGAAAGCAATGGTTACCACCATTTGAGATAATCCAATGGCAGACATCAGTTCCCTTACGTTGGACTTTGTGTTAAAATATAACTGTTTTCATAAAGTGATACTTTGTATATTTAAACAACCACACACACAAAGCTTAGTTGTAAGAACAGGTCATTCAGGGTGCCTGGGTGGCTCAGTTGGTTAAGCATCTGCCTTTGGCTCAGGTCATGACCTCAGGGTCCTGGGATCAAGTCCCACATCAGGTTCCCTGCTTAGTGGGGAGTCTGCTTCTCCCTCTACCCTCTGCCCCTGCTCGTGATTTCTCTCTCTCTCTCAAATAAATAAAATCTTACCAAAAAAAAAAATGGGTCATCCATACAATCAATAAATATTCACATGGCTGACATTATGTCCCAGGCATTGTGCTACTTGCTGCAAATACAAAGATTAAAATTTATAAATACCTCTGACCTCAAGAGGTTTATATCTACTGGGAGACAAATATGCAAAAAAATCAAAGTAACCTGGATAGGCCATTTGTCTCCAGAACATCACTGAGGCACCACAGCATCACTGGAAGGATGGGTGTAAAACTGTAATTATCAGAACTTCCCTTAAGGAAAGTTGGAAGGAACACTGAACTTTGATAAGCCACTTGAAATAGGCAGTGAAATGGCCTAGGGGCCTGGGTCATGCAACTGCCATCTAGGGGGTTTGGTCAAGTTAACTATGGGGGATTTTGCTTTGCTGGGTGGGGCATGCAGACTGGGGAGGGGCTGCCTTGTCATTTCCCTTAAACCACACCTAGTCTCTTCCCCAAAAGAAATTTGGACAAATATTTCAAGAACAGTCTTTTGATGGGACTTTTCCAGAGATTCATGTGTCTCCATCAAAGCATTATGATTCAATAAAATAATTTAGAGAGACTTGAGCAAACTTCCCTGTGGATTAGAATGTCAAGGAAGTCTTCTCAGGAGAAGTTTCTTCTATAGGGATGCTCGAATAGTTAATATCAGTGTCTGGAGATAAGATTTTCCAGAAAATATAAATGCCTTACGAGTCACAGAGACACAAGATCGCATCCTCTAATTGGATCATAAAAGGACTCCTAGCAGAAGAGCAGGGTGGGCAGAAGCAAAAGGAGTTGATTTTAACCTGCAGATGATGAGAACTACTGGAGAATTTTGTGCATGCCTGGACTGTTGGGCCTGACAGTGGGAATGTGGGTTGAGTGGAGCAAGGCTAGAGGGGAAACAGGGAAGTGTCCCAGAAGAGTGATGGTGCAGAGCAGAATTTGAAGGCTATCAAGCTACTCAAAAATGTGAACAATTAGACTTCGTAAAAGGAATGGGAGGGTGGCTAAGGATGCCTCTTGGGCAACTGGGTGGATATGTGGTTTCATTGTGTGCTTTATTTACACTTAAGAAACAACACCCAAGTTACTTCTCTTCCCATATTTCTTAATTGATATATATATATATATGTATATATATATATATGTATATATATATATGCATACACACACACACACACACATATATATATTTCAGGAGAAAAGAGAAATCATCTTGTTTCAACTGCTGCTTTATCATAAATGAAAGCTCAGGAATGTGGCATTTGCACTAAATCAACAGTCTCATTCCTGGACTGTGCCACAATGAAGGACAGCATTCTTAACAAAAAATCCAGAGTCACCACCCAAGAAATGTTCTCCATATTGTCAATCTAGGTTTAAAGTTAAAAAAAAAAAAAAAAAGTACTAGGAAGGAAAGAGGATAGGAGGTGGGAGAGAGGAAAGATGAATGGAAAGAAAAGGAGGGAAGAAAAGAAGGGAAGGGGAGAGAAGAAGATTTTGATAGAAAAACAAAGTCCTAGATCATGTGGAAAGCTAAGAAATAAACAGCCAAAAGGAAGGAGGATGAAATGAGCAAAACCAAGTTCATCCCCTGAGATTAGAGACAGAGGATAAACTGGTTCAGGAGTAGGGCTGTGATATTTTATTTATTTATTTATTTTTATTTTATTTTTTTTTTAAGATTTTATTTATTTATTTGAGAGAGAAAATGAGATAGAGAGAGAGCATGAGAGGGGGGAGGGTCAGAGGGAGAAGCAGACTCCCCGCCAAGCAGGGAGCCCGATGCGGAACTCGATCCCGGGACTCCAGCATCATGACCTGAGCCGAAGGCAGTCGCTTAACCAACTGAGCCACCCAGGCGCCCTGACAAATTTTTCAAAAGCATAGTGTATAATATAATGTGAAAGGGGAAGTAAAGGGATCACAAATATTGACTCAGAGGTTTTATTACCAGTAAGCCATGAGGATTTCTATACTTCCATTAAGAGTAAAGTATATTTATCTATTTTACTGATGACTGTGGGAAACTGAATGTTTAAATGTAATATCCTTCTATAATAGGATATCTGAAGGGTTTAAAGTAAAAATACAATCTTTTATTATATACACAGAAGGAGGTGAACTTTTAATTTTGCTGGACGAAATGCATAATTCCTGACCTCAGGGAGTTTTTATTTAAAAAAAATACTGTAGTATTTTTGTATGTAGAGGTTGTTTTAAGAGAAGGTTAAGTGTTTCCATATGAAACACTGACTTTAGCAGAACTAAACACACCCAGAAGAGAGAGAGAGAGAGAGGCAGAGAGGCATAAGTTTAATACTACAGTATTTTTTTAAATTTTTAATAAATAAAATCTTTAAAAAAAAAAAGAAAGAAAAATTTGTCAAATAGTTTTATTATTGAGTTGTTACTCATCAAATAGTTTTATTGTTGAGTTGTTATTTGTCAAATAGTTTTATTATTGAGTTTTATTATGGGATAGAAACATACCTGTTCTTCTTTTGTTCTTTTCACTGCTTTAGCAGTGAATTTCCTCCATATCTTCTTTCAGTGCATAGGAAATTTGCTCACCTATCCATCAGTAATAAAAGGAAACCCAAATGTGAAGGAGACAGGAATAATCAGAGAAAGAAAAGATAACAACTATGAAGTTTGTCCGAGGAAGTCCAGGATCTGTTCCAGGTTTAAAAGCCCATAAGTGAGCCTGAATGAAAGCTTTGTATATTTCAGAGGACAATTTCTAAACAGTGAGTTCCGCTCGAGTTGACTTCAGCCAGCTCAGCTAACTGTTGTCAACCTTTGTCAAGTGCTCATGAGGTCAGTGGGTTGGTCTTTTTCAGGTCGGCACTTATGGTTCCCTAGCCACAGTATGTGCCTTAAATTTCTCTCATACACATCTTGCCTCTCATCCCAAAAGTGATCAGAGAGGAAAAGGGAAGACTGCCCAGTCGATGGATAGAGAAAGACAATGTAAAATGACTAACTAGAGCTGGATCAATGTACTTAACGAAGGGCTGACACCCATGGGAAACGTGACTGTAAACACATGCAGGACCACCTCACTTACCGAAGAGAAGGCATGCGGACCTGTAATAATAGTTAACATGTGTTCTCTCTGTGCCAGGTATTGGGCTGAGGGCTTTTAACGTACTTCTTGTTTGATCCTTAGGGCAACCTTTTGAGAGAGGTTCTATTATCATCTCCATTTTTACAGAAATGTGAATTTTACTTTGAGAGGTGCTTTAGTGATTTATTACTGCATAATGAATTACCCCAACACTTAAAACGACAAATATTTGTTATCTCACAATTTCTGTGGGTCAGGAATTTGGCGGTGGCTTAGCTGGGAGGTTCTAGCTCCAGGTCTCTCATGAGGTCTTAATCAAGATGTCATCTGAAAGCTTGACCAGGGCTGGTGGATCCACGTCCAAGCTCCGTCACGTAGCTGTTAGCTAGACATCTCAGTTCCCCACCGTGTGGGCCTTTCCACGGGATGGAAAGAAGGATCCAAGAGAGCAACCAAGTAGGAAGCCACAGAGCCTTTTGTGACCTAGCTTCAGAAGCGATACGCCATCACTTCTGCTGTATTCTATTGCTCACCCACGC